CTGACGAGGGCAGCAGTGTGATGAAGTATTTCCATCATCAGATCACAATGAGACTCTTCACGCTCAGAGGAGCAGGAGTGGCGCCACATACAGATGTAGAGCCATTGGTCAAAAGGACTCAAATCCTAAATGAAATCATTGAGTATATACTTAGACTGACATAATCCATTAATCCATCTAAAACATGTCCCGTGCAGTACCACCTGCACTTAAAATAACATTTCAGATTTTCTTTTGGAAGATGCATCGGTTATTACGTTTACATGAGATTCGAGGAAAACTGATTAGTGTTTGCCTGAAACACATTGGTCTCAATGAGGGTGTGTCCACACGAGCCTTGTTTAGTCTAGTTAAAGTACATCTGGAACATTTTGATTTTTTCAGCCTTTCCTTTTTTAAATTTGTGTAGAGCGGTTTGTGAGGTGGTTTTAGCAACAAAAAAAAAAGAACCAAACCAAAATTTAGTCTGTTTGACTCCAGCTCTGAGGTGTCTCTGCCCTGGTGCTGGTCATCATGGTTGATGTGAGAAAACTCTTACACTCTGGTCTACAAAGGGTGGTCTCAACCACTTGCAAGTAAGCTCTGCGTGTTTGTACCAGCTCTGGGTGTGAACACTAATTACTATGACTACTAGACTACAACCTTGGTGTTCTTGAAGGCCACATGTAAAAGACAGACAGTCGCTGTCTCTTTTGTAGAAGCCAACCATAAATACAAATTAGCCTGCAGTACCATCTCTGACCAGCGGACTGTCACTAGAGATCACTTGGGAATTTTGTCTAAAACAATATAAATCTTTATGAAGAAACTTCAACATAAATATACATTTTGGAGAATCAGAAATCTGTTGAAAAGCCATTTGGGCAGTCTCTATGTTGGATTATATTAAAATAGGAGGGGGCAGAGCCGAGTGCTAGATCGTGAACATTTATATGTTTGTATTTAAGTTACAGACATTGTCACCCTTTTTATTATTGTATTATTATTATTATTGTAACATAGAGTTTATATAAATTATGTTCAATTATAGAGACCAAATGTGTGAGGTTTGTCTAAACAGCTTTACTGTATGATCTAACCAGCTCAGTCCAACTCACTGTGACAAAGTTAGATCCATTATACTTCAGTAAGTTAGTAATGTTCAGGAAGAAATGATTAGTTCCAAATGAAAATGTTACCAAAGAAGTTTGATTTTTTTTTTCCAGTTGACATTGGAAAAAATAGAGATTTTCCTTTAGCCTGACTACGTACACACCCACACTAACAGCCAGGGTGTTAACGCGATGTTGCTGTTTAGGAAAACCAATTTGTCACCAGGGTTGGATTTATATCTGGTCACTGATCTCACATATGACAGTCTTTTTCTTTTTTTCCCAAATAATAACATTTGGTTATTATTGACTTTAGGAGGCTTTTCAGTGTGCAGTAAATGCACATACAATGGGATCTGAATTCCACACAGTGTTTTTGGTGATTCCAATTTCCTCCAGTTAGGAGTAAACGGGAAAAGAACGGGATGATTCAGGGTTAAGGCGCATACGTTTTGAAAGTTGAGAGATTTATGAAGACTTTTATTTAATTTCTTCTGTGCGGCACTAATAAAACATTCAGTGTATGTTAATTATTTTGTTAACAGAACCATTGAATGGGTCTGTGGGTGTGGAAGGGACTGGCTCAACTATTGTGGGAAAGGGCAGGACTGACAGAGTGATAGATACTGAAAACAACGGCAGTGGTCAGAAATTTAGACCTAAACTACAAAACTATAAACGACAAGTTAGCTTCAGCCTGTAGGGGTATTACAGTATATCTCCACATACTCAGTAGGACAGGGGTGGCCAACCAGTTGGTAGGCTAAAAGCCACAATTTTTGTTGAGTTAATGCAAAGAGCCACATGATATACGTGGGCACTTCATGTATAGATCTTTTCATCTGTGTTTCACATAGCGTAAAAAACACAAATATAAAGTTCGACATGAACCTAAGAGCTGCATGAAATCACGCAAAGAGCCTCATGTGGCTCCCTAGCCGCAGGTTGGCCATGCCTGCAGTAGGATAACAGTAGGAATGACTGTCTACTTTATGTATAACCCAGAAATAATACAAACTACCTGTAATATCATATATTAGCTGTTAATTGGTTAAAAGACAATGTTCTAATATTAAATATTCTCAGCCTCTCCCGATATTTTGTTTTTGCATAGGTGATTTAAATGCAACGACTGTGTAATTCATGGGTGGATTCACATTGAGTAATTGTTGCGGAACAATAAACGAGTCAGGGAGTCCAGAGTTGTGTGAGAGAGAAAAGGGCTGGGGAGGGAGAAATGAGAGAAAAATATTTGTTGATGTAGCAACAATAATGTCCCCTCTGGAATAATTAGTTTTCACTCGCAGTAGAAGTCAAAGCTGTGCCTCAGAGAAAGACTGGTTGTTTTGAGAGTGGGTTTGTGAGGCCGTTACTTCACTCATGTTTTGACTGCGTCTGAGTCTTTGTTATCACGCTGTCTTCCTTCAGCTGTGCTGCTCCACGTCCAACTGCCTCAACCAGTTAGCGGCAGGTAAAAGAAGCTGAAGAGCTCCGGGCTTGTGGTAGCAGAGTTGAAAGGTCATGTGAAACATTGTCCCTGATGGCTTTTGGACAGAGCCTGCACATGCTTTCCATCAGAACTTCTTACATGAGGCCGGGCGTCTAATGTGCCGAACATAAACATCCTTATTGAATCATTTCCAAAACAGCTGCCCGTCTGTTTAATGCAGACAAAGATGAAAGTTAGAGGACCAATAGGAGGCTGATTACTATTCACCACATTGCATAACTGCAGAAAAATCCACTGCTACATATTCTTTGGAATGTGAGAGTGTTTGTAATGCAGGGAACCAAAGCTAAGAGCATGGTTGGACCAGAAGTTTGCCACAAATGAGACAAAACATGACATCAGTGACGGCGGCTTTGACTGGTGGATAAGAACGGGGCACATGTGGATGTGGTTGTCGTACTGAGGCAGTGTGTACTTTCTTCTTTTAAGTGAAATCACTATGACGCAGAAATAAAAGTGTCAGCGAGGTGGCCCATCCAGTGGATTATGTTCAAAGTTCTAATGCTGTTTCATTCTGGCTCCTCACATTTGGTCCACTGTTACAGTAATGGGGGCAGTACAGTTTGTAGAGTGATCACATGGCAGCAGCTAAATTCACTAAGGATCGTGCACATGGTAAAGACAACCTGCTTAAGTTCAAACCAAGAATTACCACAGAAAATAAAAGTGATTGAAGTGACTTCAGCTGATTCTTAGTGCCAGACAGACTGGTCCAGTCTGACAAAAATCACTGATGTTATTCAGACTTTCCCACACAGCCATTACTAGAGTTCATTAAATGGCCAGTTGAGATAAAAGTGAGGGCAGCACAAAAAACACATTTCTTTGTCTTCCCCTGACAACCATGTTACACAAACAGAACATTATGTATCAGTTATCCCTGGAATCTTACAATATACAATCCTAATGTTGCATGTCTCAATGAATATGAGGAAAAAAAATGCAATACTTTAAACACACACACACACACACACACATTGTCTCTCTTTCTCACGCACATACATACACACAAAAGAGAGAGAAATAGTTACTACATGACTAATAGTAATTATATGCAGGCAGCATCCACGCTGGTTCTATAAGATACACACGTTTTGGCCATTTCATGAAGTACATTTGTCCATTACTGTGTTGGACTCAGTTCTAATGCAGATCTGCCTTGATTTTTTATGGTGTAGAATCAGATCTAGGATGATGCTAATGTTTAACTGCAGGACTATTTCTGCCTGCTAACAATTAGCTGCTTTTTATTTATGCATCAATTTCCTAAAACGAAAGGAAAGATCATAAAAAACCTTCATACAAATGTGTCTGACAGAGGTTGGGTGGCGTGACATCAGTGGTTCGCAGCCCATGCAATGTTTTTGGGTGAAAAAGTCTTCACCTAGTGTAGAACAAGGAGTTGGAAGGAATGCAACTCCCAAAAAATGACAGATGCTAGTAAAACCCAAAACAGAAGTAACTGTAAGTAAAGGTTGGATCAGCTCACAGTTGTAAGTTAATGATTCCCAAATGGTGTATTGCACCCTCTGTAGGGTAAGAAGAGTACTGTCTTCTCAGTCACAGAAAATATGCTTTCTCAACCTTCTTAAATAATGTAACAAAATGGACATATTTACAACAATTGCTCAGAGTCCACCATAAGAATATCATGTTTTGATTATGTGGTCTGTTTTATATTCCCCCTGACATGAGGAAGGGCCATTTTTATGGCATTTCTAAATTATAACCCCTGGAGTTCAATGTGAGAATTGACAAAATATGTTGGAACTTTGTCACAATTTTTTTCTTTAATTTCAGATTTTCTTTTTACACAAAAACCTTTACAAGTATTTATTTATATTTTAATAAGGTAATCATCCATTCAGTACTTCTTGTCCAAGATAAAAACACACAAAGAAGAACCAGCGTCAGTCCAGAGCCTATTGTGTAACGTCTGACTTGATTGAGTGACGGCATTCTTCTTATTATTACACATAAACAGTTTGATTTGTGGGTTATTTACAGCATTTTGGTTTGGACCACGTTCTCCCGCTTTAACAACCTGCACCGCAGCTCTCTTGGCAGTGGAGCGTCAGGAATGTCGGCATGTTTATTTCCTGCTGCCATGTTCCAACAGTGCTGTTCCCATCAAGTGACCCGAGGAAGGGGAAGAACAACGGCGAGGTCAAATCAACCACTTATGCTGGGTGTGAATGTGTCTGATTGACTTCCATGAGCCACTCCTGCTCCATTGTTGAGTTGTGGAACATTTGCTGTTAAACATGGTAACCAGAGAGCCTTGTTAAAACATTAGCCATAATGGCTATTGTGTCACACAAACACAGGCTTGTAACTATGGCTCCTACCCCCCGTCCCACCTCACCCCAAACCTCACCCCACCTACAGTATGTGACCAACCACAAACAAACCCAGAGAGGGGCACAGGGAGCCTTGGAGACGGTGGTTCAGCCCTGCTGGTGAAAGTACTCTTCTGGGTGTGGAACCGTACTACAGGCAACAAAACAACATGAGAACACAGCCCGGCCTTAGTTCTTAGGGCAGCACTGGAATGAGAGAAGGTAAGAGTTTTCTTACTATAGTGGGGGATAAGGAGTTTAACCCTGAACCTGAACACACATGCTTTCCGTTAGCACGCTGATGATAACCTCTGGTCGTTCCCAGTCACTGAAACTAAAGGGCCCCATCGGTTCCAGAGGAGGACACCGTCTGTTTTTCTTTAAGATCTGTCAGGCGTGTCAAACAGTGCTAAAGCTTAAATAGTGCTCTATCAGCAGAGCATGTCTGCTGCGGAGCCATTGCTGTCCCAGGACACATGCTAACTGCATCCACACAAAACAATCAAATCCAAATAGTTAGTTTAAAAAAATGGTTACTTTTTAACTGAACCAAAGACGAACGGTGCTACACTCCTTGGTTTACTTGGGATTTCGTGGTGCATTGTGGGAAACACTAAGTGTCCTATATCATAGACAGCTTTTTTAATAGGTTTTAAATGCAGATTTCAATCCTCTCCGCTGCACTACTGCCACCTACTGGCTGAAATTTCTATTGGTAAAGAAAATAGTCCCAGATAAATAAAACAAAACACTACAATAGACTATGGTGTATTTTTAGAACATTTTCTAGTGGTCTAGGGCTAAGAGAGAGTTGCAAGTTCGAATCCCACTTTAGCTAGGTGTGGTGTGTTGCAATTTCATGGTGGAGGACACATTTAGTTGAGTAGCATGAGTCCAGCATGATGTACAATGAGAATTAACTTACTCAACACTACACATTTCGAGGAGTCCTTGAACACACCGTATCCATGTGGAGCTTGTGTTTGCAGAGAACAATATTTTGCCCATGTGTTTGACAGATGAGGTGAACACAGTGAAGGCAGCGTAAATCCTGTTTCCACTTAACGGGTGCAGACATGAGCCAGTTTTCAGTTCAACCTCACAACAATAAATCTACAACATGCAGAACCTTCCAGAATACTTTGAAGTATCTTTATGTAACTTAAAATATCCCTCCTTAGGTACACATGTATACCATATTCCCACACACACAAACATCCAGAGTGAAGATGAGACAAATTCAAAACAAAACAATATTTTCAAAAAAACATTATATATATGTACTAATTCTTGAGTCACATAGAGTTCATGCTATTGGTCCCTGCAGATATGTGACATGTGATGAGCCACAGGATGAAACATCACACTGAACTTGGAACACATAAAAGCCTGAGTGCATGCAGAGGCCACAGGAGGAGTTCTGAGCCCAAACCATGGTCCAGACCCTTCCAGGAGACCAGAGCCTTCCCTCCGCTCCCACCAAGACCACGTTCACAAGTCGACACTCGTCGCTGCCTCAGAGAAACTGAGCCTCTGGGTCTCCAAGGTGACCACATGTGATCTAATTAATGTGGCTTCTTGACATCTATCATGTACATGGAGCATCCATCAAGCTTTGTTTCAAAGATTTTCATTTTGTGTTTTTTATGTGCCATTCAGACAATGGCAAAGAAATATTCTCCAACCCAAATTCTTGTTTTTTAAATTGTCTCCATGTTTGGCTTTAGGATAAAAATGACAGCTTTGTGCGTCAAACCTAATCTCCAGGAATCTTTTTAGTTGTCCTTTGTCCGTTTTTTGATTAATGTTTTTTGTGTTGTATCATTCATCATTTGTCAATGAGTTGTGTAATTTGGGGGGTTGACTTTAGCCTCTGGGTCCTGTTGTTGAACTGGTGGTAAAATAGATCTTGTTATGAATGTTTCTAATTAGGATAACTGTGTAATTATTACCATCTCTGTCACAGTGCGGGGCTTTTGCTGTCCCCTCCAGGAGAGACCTGGCAGCAGCAGCAATAGCAGCAGCAGCAGTGAAAGCAGCAGCAGGGCAGGAGCAGGAGCAGCAGCAGACAGGAGCTTATTACTGTTAAGCAGCCTGAGAGGTAGTTTGGAGAGCAGAGCAAAAGCAGCAGTGAGAGTCAGGAGTGGGAGCAGAGCTGTGGTGACCTCACAGACCGGAGCTGGAGTCAGTCCAACAGCAGGTGAATGACTGTTCTACTGCCACCACACAACAGTAGTTTACACTCACTGCTCAACATTGCTGTTCAAAAGTTCACTTGTACTTAAACAATAACTAAGAGGAATGTGTTCAAAAGTTTGAAGTTTGAGATAACATTTCAGATGAATGTACTTTATATATATATATATATATATATAATATATATATACACGTATATATAGTACATACATCTGAAGTTTTATAAATATATGAGATATGTGTAACCTATAATGAGTCAGATGAATATTTGCGTAATTAATGTGATAACAGAGAGAGAGTGGTGATTTCACTTTTATCGTCTTGCGACCAGTGACGTACAGTCAAGACAGGCAAGCAGAGACTCATCAGTCATCATCAAATTAAAAACAAAAGGTAACATAAAATAAAAAAAGTCATATTTTCCAAAAGGTTCTTTACAGAAAAAGTGACTTTCCCCCCATCCTGTTCTAGTACAGAGGAGATAACACAAGTGAGGCAGCTACGGGTAAATTAACAATGTTAGTGGTTAAGCTATTTGTCAATCAGACTGTGATGGAGTCAGTGCCTCAGTTGTTATGAGACCAGTGCCACATTACTGCTTTCAGTATAGTTTTATCTGAAGACCATGTTACATCATTCATTCTTGGAGCTCCTACATCTGTAACGACACCTGATGAACATTCAACTGAAGACAAGGCTTCACCAAACTCTGCTTTTATTTCAGGTAAATACAAATTTGACTCAGGAATCCGAGTCACCAGGTGAAAAATTAGAACAAGAGTATGCCTCCATGTGTGAAAGTGAACTACTTGTCATTGTGACACTGCACACCACTGCACATAACAAAATGTGACCTCTGCCTTTAACCCATCATCAAAGTGAGCAGGGGGGCAGCTAAAACACCCACGGAGCAGTGTGTGGGGTCCACTTCCTTAACCACAAAACCACTGCTGCCCCTGACTGATGAGTGACGCTGTTTATGGCTGCAGGGGGCGCTCACAGCAAAGTCAATGCTGACTACAAGTTCCATTCCTACAGTGCAACTTAACTAAATATGAAATGAAAATCAGATTTATTAACACCCACAAACACACACACACACAAACAAACACCCACAAACACACTCAGTCACAGACAATAGCTTCCATGTGGATTCCTCTAATCACATGCAGACAACAAGCTAAGATGAATTTTTCTTTGAGCTGTGGACAGGAACAGAGCAGCTGTGCTTATTTGTGGTGACTCAAACAAATAATCCAATTTCATTGCCAATTGACATGAGAGTTGAGCATTCCTCCTGTTGGGTGGAATGAAGCAGTGGATGGTTATTGCTGCAGCTTGTTGGATATCCTCCTCTAAAGATAAATGGACACAGTTGCTCAGAAGGATCCATCCATCACTAGAACCCTAGAATGTTTTGTTGTGTTTTCATAGTTGGCAGGCTGTAAATGACATCTGCAGCAAGGATGTGACCATTAGCTCGAAGCACTGTAGCACTGACTGTGACTGCCCCCCCAGAATCTCCCACAACCCCCTGCATCAATGAGAGACAGGCTGGTCAGGGACAGGCCGGCGCCACCAAGGTTTCAGAACTCCATCTGTATCTGCCTTCAACATTCTGTGAGGACGTGGACCACAGCTCCGAGGCCGAGGACCAGAGGTATGAGTGCTGAATGGTGCTGCTGATGTTCTGGGCGTAGATACTGGGGCTGCAGCAGCCACAGGAGAAAACAAACATCTGCATCACTTCCATGAACTATTTTTTGGGTAAAAAGGTTTCACGTCACATCTGTGGTTTTCACCTTTGTTTCCAGAATCTGGACCAGTCATCCATAATGGGTCCCAGGACCATTTTTATGGATTGTGAGATTGAAAATATTTTCTCAAGGTGACAGAATTACTGCGATGCATGCAACTGTTTGCCCATTGTGTGCATTCAGTCCATACAACTAGAGGATGACGTAACAGAAGGTTCAATGAAAAAAAAAATTCTGTTAAACATACGTGTAGACGTGGGAACAGAGGGATGGTGTGGATTTGTATGGTCCACTGTTCAATATGGGATGGATGTTCCAGTTTATACAGACGTGCTGTCAGTGAGATGCTGCAGTTGGAGTCTGAGTAAAATTATATAAGGAAGGCCCTGCATTAAAGGAAAAATCTAAACAGTTCCAGCAACTGCATTAGGTACTTCCAGAAACTACAGTCCTGCTACATTAGAACTCACAGTGGGAATGTTATAAAGCTGGGATTATTACACTGTTCTTTTCAACATTGATCTGCTCAAAATATCCTGACAACTGCAATGCAACGAGCCATTTCCCTAAAAGTCACCATTGTTTTTAAACCCATTTATTGTACAAGAGCAGGTATTTCTATGTTACGTTCTATTGCTTCCCACTGTTCCGATTGGTACTAGCCCATTCCGATGTCAGTAGTATAATGAGGTCATGCAGCTCTACGCCAAGAGCTCAGATTAGCAGACAAACACGAAAAAGCTCCAGCACAGTGATTTTTCTCCTACAATCACCAGTGACAGTGTCCTGGTTCCAAAGCTATTGGAGAAGCTAGACCTAACATAGTGTTCCTGCTCTCTTCCCCAACGTCCCTTGATGGCGCTGTCCAAGCCTGACTTGTGATAGAAAGGTCCCTGCACACAGAGGTTCTAGGTGTCTATAGCTGCTGTGTATCCCTGCACAGCTATTGATGCAGAACATGGATATGTAGCGGTCTATACACACATTTTTATAAGAGTAAACATGAGGAAGAAATTGGTTTTGGTAGATGGGCAGTGTGTCATCTGAAAATCTTACTTTTAGTAAAATTCCAACAGAGGACAGTCAGTGTAAAAGTGAAAAATTTTATTTCCTGCTTTAAATTTTTTTTACAACATTTAAGCATCTTGTCAAACACTAAACACACAAACACAGTCGATGTCACTTGGAATTCACCATTCAACAACAGTGAGATCACATTACTATAACAGGACCACAAAGCTCCCCTGCCAATATAAACTTTTATGTTCATATTAGAAGTGTGAAGTGACAAAAGTTAATTGCTTTCAGCTGCTCATGTGTAATCACTTTCATATTTCTCTTTCACCTCTTCCTGCCAATGTTTTATTCAGTCTGTTGCAGTGAAAACAGAAAAAAAGTCAGGATGCCTCAGCGACCATGCCTTTCTGTTCCTCATAGGCCTCCATCACCACAGACGACAATACAAGAACCTGATGTCAAAACAGGCACAACAGAACTTCCAGAGATTTCACACGGCAGCACTGGAGCCCCCAGCAAACCACAGTCACCTTCTGATGACTGAACACAGAGGAGGAACAGAGCACATACTCGTTTGAAACGATCTGCCCCCTTAAATGCCTCCACTCAGACAGAGTGAAGTGATGAGAAGCAGGCCTGCGATGATAATGCTTGCAGCTGTCCACACATATGGGCCCCACACGGCTTAGAAAACACGATGATGAAACACTGTTGATTAGTTTTCAGAGAAACTAAAAAGAAAAATGTTTTTAGAAAAATACATCTTGAAACAACAGATGAGCAAGTGACAAATATGGGTCAACGTGAGGCAGGTGTGAAGACAGGGAGGAAGAAGGCACACGCTTGACGTCAAAACACAGAAGGATGGAATAGATATAGGTATCTAATCATGAGCACATATATTTATTTGGAACACACACTCAGACATGTACACACAATCCCCAGCTTAAACAAATATGAAACAGCAACAGGAACTGATATTTCCATCACAGAAATCGACAGCAGTAGTACCAGGGACAGTTCCAGTGCCTTTATCTCCATTAGAGGCACAAGGTGAACAGTAGCATCCTCTCAAGAGGCAAAAAGAACCATTGTTTGGAAAAATGTATCTGTGGCAACAGAAATGTTATATGCACCGATAAAAACGTTTTTTGGGGTTTTTGGTTTTTTTTGGCCACAAACAATTTAACTTGTAATGTAAGAAAGCAAAGATCAGCAGTTCCTGTGCCACTGTCAACTAAAACATCCCATTGAAAAATTTTAATGGGAAGTGCTGTGAGAGAGTGACAACATTAGTTGTCGATAACGTGTAAATGCATATACATAAATTGCCTTGATCATTCTGGTTTCCTTCAGTCCATTAGTGATATTGTAATAAAAACATGTGAGTTTGTCACATCCATTTGAATGAGTTCTGTTACCTCCACTTCAAGGTAGGAACCCCGACCTGGACTCCAGCAGGTGAACATCTGCTTATGGTTCACCATGTGTTGAGTCTGTGTAATTTCTCCTCCTGGGTCTCTTCTCTGTGCAGAGAGAGCAGACCATGCACCAGACACTGGGCTCTGGAGCAATCTGTACTCCACTGCTGCCACGAAAAGACCTGAGGGCACAGGAGCCTGTCAGAGGAACAGAGAGAAGCGTCATCAGATAGAGCTCAGGGCCAATGATCACAAACACCAGAGAGAGCGAGGGAATCAATAAGAAAATAAGTAGTGGTCTTGATAGAAAAAACACCAATCTTGTCAAAAACTATTGAAATAAACATTATTTTAGAGTTAGAATGTTGTGAATCATGACTAAATAGAAGAGTATTTTTTTAAAAACAAACCAATCCTTTCCCAGATTTGCAGGATTAAATCATAGCTTTTAATTTAATCTGAGAATTTTGACATTTCTTTAGAATCTATTTTTTTCTATTAGAATGAATTTTATTAGTTTGTTTATAAATTAGCAGCACGTGATTTTTGTTACAGATATTTAAAATACTACCTTAAATCTTTGAGACACAAAAAGTGTCCAGAAACTATAATAATGACATTATATCCACTGGTACTTTCAGAAAATCATCAAGTTTAAACCTAAAATTTAGACTTTAATGTGATCTTAACCGTTATGAGCTATAGTCAAAAATCCTGAAAAAGCAAGAATTCAGACTTGTATTATAATAGGGACTAATATTCAAGCCCCGGTGATGTCATCATGGTCTATGACCTTTTGACCTTTTCCTCTAAACCAACAAGACAAATTACCCCCTTCGTCCATGTTACATTTGTGAGATTTTACGGTTCTCGGTGGAACCTGGAAGGTCATGAGCAGACCTCCCAGTCTCTTGACCGTCACACTTAGAATTAGGACTCACTGAGAAACCCTTTTAACACAGCATTACCCAAAATGAAGTATGCTGCAGCGCTGAGGGAGAGGATGATGAGGAAGATGGTGCCGAGCCCCAGATCTCCCATGGAGCAGGCATTTGGACATGCACAGGGGCTTTCCACCCACATCTGCAGGGGCACCTGGTCCGAGCTGAGCCTCAGGTCGCGGGTGAATGAAAAGGACTGATTTGGATTACAGTGGAAATGGACTACGGTCAAGGGCTGCTCCTCATCCGCTGTGGTACAGGGAGGAGAAGGATGAGTAGGAGGACAAAGAACAGAACAGGAGCAGTGGTTACTGTGTCTTAACCATGTGCAGTGTTTTCTTACAGAAGTAAGAGACAGACAGAAGTTTCAGGGTGTGGTTGTAGTGGAACTGATTGCCGTCGTGTCTTCCATACGTGATGCAGCGGCCGGTGTGTGTGCTGTCTGTGTTGTACCTGTTTACAAAACACATGCCACACACTGACACTGATGATATCATCTATGATACTATTGATAAATACAGTTATGGTCAATCATTGTCATGTATTTGTCTTTTTTTGAGAGGTCAGTTTGAGAAGTTACCACTGAGGTGCTCTGAGCATGTCACTGTCCCCACTCACTGCTCCCTGGGTGCTTAAAGCTGCACACTGTTCACTTTGGTGATGGATTAAAAGCAGAGGCCACATTTGGTTGTGTGCAGTGATGTGTGTCAAAATGACAAGGAGATCACTTTCCCTTTTTCCTTTCCTTTTTTAACGCCCAATCGTGTTCAGGAGACGTGGGATTCATACAGCTATGGTCCATATAGTGAACAGCTAAGCTAACAGCAGGTTTAAGAAACCTTAAAACATCTATACACACAGGGATGACTGGAAAAAGTCCACAAAAAACAACACTTACTATTTGGAATTGAACAAGTGATGGAAAGAGAAAGACACAGAGAGAGTCCATAACCAGTCATTAACCAACCTAAACCCTAATTCACATCGAAATTCTAACCGTTTTTCCCTTCTAGCAAAAAACTCATCAACTGCTGAGGATCACTAGTCCTGACACTGAGTGCTTTTGATGTATTCAGGGCGCCCCCTATGCCTTAACACTTGCAAAGCTTGGTTTGACGTGAACACCACAAGGCTGCAGGATAGTGACATTAACAAAAGATAATTTAAAAAAGAAAAACAAAACAGCGGTTTATTTGCTTTTTTTTCTTTCTCTGACTCAAATCCACTTCAATCAACCATTTTGGAGGATATATAATAATTGAATAAAAATATTTAAATTAATTTTTTTACTCTTGTAGCACTGATGATGGTAAAATGTACAAGATAACAATTTCAACATTTAATTTTAGTGTTTATTTGTCTTATATTGTAATATAATATTATAAGTGTTTCTATGTGAGCTTAAAAAAAAGAAGAAATTGCTAAGGGTACTTAGTTTTCCTACAATTCCCACAATGCAGTTGGCCTATAAGTATTGACATATGATCATGTACACAAATGCTCCACCATCTTTAATGAGGACATTAATGGAGTATTTTATTAAATTGGCTGGAGGTAGTCTCTCTGAAGCAAACCTACCGTAAGGACAACAGATATCTGTCTCATTGTCAGATATCTGCTGTAAAACTGTAGTCAGAGCAGCATCATGCTACATTTTGTCAGATTTTAATCTAGGATTTGACTAAAACCTCATGTGATCCAAATCAACCAAAATTATTTTAATTATGTTTTGACCTTATGAGATTCTTAAACAACAATTTCTGGAAATCTTTCATGTTCAAAACTCAAAGTTATGTTCAAAGGCAGAAACTGCACATCACGTCTTCCACTGCTCCCTAACCTAGACATGGAAACCTGTTGTCTTTCTGTTGTATTCACCTCTCTTCTATCTCTATCCTAGAGATTCTGCACAGAGAAAAATACTTTATTTTCATGCTAACCTTGTTACAAAGGTTAGGCTCGGATTCATTGGGAACATTCTGCTCCTCCTGGAGCCAGCTTGCATTTCTGAGGTACAGATGAAACAGGATGATGTAGAGAATTCAGAGATTGAACACACATTGACATGAGGGCAGCATGCAGTCTGCTGCACATCCATTAAGCTAATCCTCTGTTCTAACCACATCACAGAGATGCTCCCGTTGATGTTTCACTTTCAAGAAACCAGTGTTTTGATTTTACCTTCATGGTGTGGTCTGTTGCTATGCTGCATCATGCCTACTGACAAAAGTTTGGTTTTCTTCTAAGTAATGTGAAAATACTTTGTAAGTCAAGGCATACAATTGGTCTGAGGCCTCTTCCTAGACATTTCTTAGATCAAAAAATAAATTATATGAGAAAGACCAACATATAGATAGACTTTGAATAAGCTTCAGTTTACAGCTTTCAGTGGGTGTGAAAGTAGAGCCGACTGATGCATGGAAAGCAGAGGAGACTGTAAAAAGCATGAAAAGGTTTCCAGCTGCCTCCACAGTCTGCCTTCAGTAAAGAGGAACTGAGGAAGTCAAGACAAGAATGTGACAGAGTATAAAGTAGTGCACATCTGCCGGACAGAGGGGTGAAAGTGAACGTTCAGAGGAGCAGCGGGACAGTTCCTATGATGGAGCAGAGCTGCACTGAGTACAAACAGAGTGGACAGAGTCATCACAGGCAGGAAACCTTAACTGGGACAGTTACAAGTCACAGTTAAAGTGTCAAAAGTTTGGACTGAGTCATTTTAGAGACCAGTAAAGACTGATGCAGCACTAATTATAGTTGTTAGATCTCTGATCAAAATCCTTCGAAAAATCTCAATTTGAAGTCTGGTTTCCATTATGTGACAAAAATGAAATATTCTAGGTTTAGCAGCACATGATTTTTGTTACAGATATTTAAAATACTATCTTAAATCTTTGAGACAAAAAAAAGTGCCAAAACATCTACATCATTTTACCAAAACCATGTTGGCTTATAGAGCAGTATATTCACATACTTTACTTGTAACATGGTTCCTATTGTACTGTACAGCATTTAATATCACTCACAGTGTCCACTTGTGTCTTTTATCAGCTGATTTTCTCTAAATAGGATCATGTCCAAAATTGTTTTTTTTTTAATATTCAAGTCAAATTGAGTAAAAAAAAAACCTAACAAACAAACTAGAAAACAAGGAAATGGTTAGTCACATGTGCCTTTCAGAAATATTTTTATGGTTTAATATTCTATGACATCATAATCACCCAAAATGTGTCATTTATTTTGAGTAACTGATTCAAAATATGTAAAATACATCACCACTGCAGCCCATTGGAACACACCATTTAAGTAGGACCTAATCTAAGTGAGTTCATCCTACTATAACACATTCACATCTCTGTAATTTCAGTAACTGTACGCACTCATAAAATTCACAATTTTATATAAAAAAGGACAATTCTAAAAACAACAGTTCAAATTTAATAAGATCTACAATATGTTCAACATTGAAGTTGAGACGAGAGCTCAGACAGACTGACCTCCAGAGGATGTCAAAGCAGCACCAGGAAGTTCACCATAATGCCTTTAATTATTTTCAGGGTTTGTTTTATTTGCTATTGAGGACATTGCAATAAGGGTCAAGCTGAATCTGTTCTGTGGACCGTCTCTGAACCTGGGGCCATATGTTGCTTCTTGTCTCTGTGTGTCTTTGAGTGTGTGTAGGGGACAATAGTCAGCTTGGGGCTTTCTTCAGCCAGAATGCCGTGTCTAAGGAAAACACTGCACAGACCCAGGAAATAATGGATTCCAATAAATATCAGCACATGTCTCACAGGAAGTTAGGAATGTAAGTGTGAGGAAGGAAGCTGGCCTACAAGAGGATGATGATCCAGAGCAGACGTCCAACATCTATTTTTTTAATAACACAGTTTCCTCCTCTGATGTCTGTCTAACACTGCACTGGCTAACAGCAGCTGCAGCAAACAAGTGGATATTTCCAAAAAGTCCAGTGTGGAACTGGAGTCAGATGGAATGATCAAATAGATACATGATGCACCAATATGCCATGTAGTGGACTTCTCATTCAAAAATAATAATGTAAGAGCTTTGTGGCAGCTCATATACTTAGTCTCTTAAAGATATTACAAGAATGCTTTGCTCTCCTTTTGCAGGCTCTAAATCGTTTGACTGGAATTACTGCCATCTAGTCGTGAAGGACGTCATCACTGCAGAGAAAGACAGCATCGAATACAACCTGTGGTCTAACAAAATACCTGAGTATATAATACATGGTAGTCATTTTTGGTCTTTTATATTTGAAAGTCACGGCCTGCTTTTACACTTTTAAAAAAATTAGATTGAAGGAAAGGTAAATTTTATTAGTTGCGCTTTTTCAAAGGCTGTTTTCCTGGTCAATTGTTCAGAGCAGAGTACATGTCTTATGCTGGTTGTAGAAACCGTGCACCAGCAGAGGGCAGACATGTTTCTGGTCTTGCAACCTCTGTGTGTTAGGACGTCATATTAAAAAACATTTTTAACTTAAATTAAATTACTAACAATTTTATTGCCAAAGCCCGATGTGCAGCAATTGTAATGTTAATGTAATGTTTGTATTTATTACAACACCAACTCGTCAAATTCCATTTGTGTTTTCAAACACAAGAAACAAAGAAAACTCAGATTCTGACTTGGATAAAGTGTACAGTGTGTTTTACAAGGACTATTAAAAAAATAGTACTGTTTCAACATTAGCCTTGTGGTACCTGATGATGATAGACGCAGCGATGTTCGTGCAGTCACTTTCTGTCAGGTCCTCTGACTGTGAGAAAGGCCGACAGGGGCTGAACGACAAGAGGATCTCATCGCTTTCTGCCGTCCTGTGTCCTGAAATGGGTCTCAGGTGTTCCAGGAATCCACTTGTATCCCCGATGGCTTCCAGGTTGATCAGGCCGCTGCCATCCTTCATGATACACTGGCAGTTGTTGACCTTAAAGCAGCCAGACTCCTTATCACTGTACCTGAGAGGAGCGAAAACAGACGAAAACAAACTGAAACAAAGATAGAGTGTGAAGATGATGGCTGGTGTGCTCATGCTGACAGTGTGCACCAGAGTCAGATGATAGTGTAGTTGAGAAGCCTCTTATGTTGTCGAGTCACTTGAGTGCAGATGACAGCAGTCTGATAGAAGGAAACGTAATTAGAGTCAAGGTGACTGTCATTCCAGGCA